CCCCAAAACCCCAAAACCCCAAAACCCCAAAACCCCTTAAAGCCACGCTAATATTGAAATATTTTATCGTGTTATGGCTGACGCTGTTGTAGTAGACCCAGCAATCCTTGCAAAACTTAAATTTATGGCTCCTGTAGTAAAGGAAGCACCAGAAGAAGAACAAATAAGTACTAAGTCTCTTATTAGTAAGACCTGGAGACCAGAGAGGAGCATTGAAGCAGTATGTAGTGGGGGTAACTTTGAATTCTCCAAAAATTCAGAAATTGCATACTCTCTTCATGATGGAAAAGTGTACTGCTCAAACACTTCGAACATGAAGGTAGAGAGAGTCATAGAGTTTGATCAAGAGTTCATCCTTACCTTCACTGTGAGGAATGATATCTTAATAACCTCTGGGAAATATGGTGGTCTCAGAATCTGGAACTTAGTCACAGGCACTTGTCTTAAGTATATGGGAACAGGCGGCTCCATCATTAATGAAATGAGACTCGATGCCTCAGGAACCTACCTAGCCTGTGCCACTGCAGACAGGAAGGTTAAGGTCTTTGATATCAGGAAGAACAAGGTCACTCATGAGTTTTATGGACATAAATTATCTGTGAATTTAGTGAGATGGATGCCAAATAAAGAGCATAAAAAGGACAAAATGATGATCTTCTCAGCGAGTGAAGATGGACTTATTAAAGTATGGGATCTTGTACTCAATGCCTGTGTCGGCACCCTGAAATATCACAGATCTCAGATCCCAACCATGGAGTTTACCAATGACTGAAAGACTCTAATTGTCTCATCAAGAGACCAAAAGTTGTCATTTTGGAATCTGAAGGATAATAAATTCGACAAAATTGGAGCTGTTAGGCTAGAAGAAGATATTGAAGGAATGCATTATGTTAACCTCAAAGTAGCTGAGGGGAAGACCTTGCCATACCTTATCACTGGTGGAACAGAAGGAGCTCTTAGGATCTTGGACATCAATAATCAAAAGTATGTTTATGATGAAGAAGACCCAATCAAACAGGAGATAGAGAAGATATTCTATATTCCTAAAGAGGATAAGATCATTGCGCTTACAAATGATCAGGTTCTCACATATTACTCTCTACGCATTAACGAAGAGAAGAAAAGCCCAGAGCTTAAGAGGATGTATAGTTTATGCTTGTATAATGACGAAATCATTGATCTCAGGTATTTGAGAAATCAAGAAGATAACATCGTGATGTGCTCTAACTCAGAGTTGGTCAAAATTGTCGATCTAAGCACTCAGAGAAATAAACTGCTTACTGGTCATGAAGACATTGTCATCGCAGTAGATGTTTTTGAAGATTTCTTTGTCACTGGATCAAAAGATAAAACTTGCAGAGTGTGGAAACATGTTGAACTTGGCAATGGAGAATCAACCTATAAATGTATTGCTATCTATGAAGGACATAATATGAGCATTACTTCTTTATCCATAGAACCCAAGAAAGGAACCTATTTTGTTAGCAGTAGTCAGGATAGCAGTATTAAGAAGTGGAATCTTGGAGAAGCTCTTAGCCTGGATTATAATTCTGATCCAAGCAAATTTCCAATTAAGATCAACGAAGCCCAGGTTTCAGAAGTGGCTCATCAAAAATATATCAATGTCGTAAGAGTCTCTCCTGGAGAGAAGAACAAGGTTGTAGCTACAGCCTCCCATGACAGATCAATTAAGATCTGGTCAGCTCATGCATTTGAGCTTAAAGCGACTTTGAAAGGACACAAGAGAGGAATTTGGGATGTTGCCTTCTCTCCATATGAAAGAATCCTAGCATCAGTCTCTAGTGACAAAACAGTCAAGTTGTGGAACATTTCATCTGGGCAATGCTTAAACACGTTAGAAGGACATCTGAGCTCGACTGTGAAGGTCCTTTGGATTAATGAAGGACTCCAGCTCTTCTCAGCATCTGCTGATGGAGCCTGTAAAATCTGGAACATTAAGAAATCTACATGAGTAAACACCTTTGATGAGCACGATGATAAGATCTGGTCAATGGATTCCTACGGTGATAAGCTCATCACAGGAGGATCTGACTCAAAACTCATTGAATGGAAGGATGTCACCCAAGAAGTAGAAGAGGAAGAATACAAAGAGAAAGCAGAGAGGTCAAAAGAAGAACACATCCTTTCCAGCATGATCTATGAAGGAAAATATAAGGATGCTGCCATCCAAGCATTTAAACTTAAGAAGAATAGAGACCTGTTTAAAGTAATTGAGATGATATTGGATCAGACTAAAGATAGCTCAATTGAAACCAATAGTGATCCTGTAATGTGCATTCTCAGCAATGAGGAAAAATTCGAATCACAGTTTCAAGGAATCCAGGTTCATGATATTACCCATGGCTCTAACAAAGCAGCAGAACTTGTGGTCAAAGAAGTTGTACAGGAGATGCTAAAAATCGACTCTATGAGACTGCTTGAAATTATCAGAGATTTGAATGTCCATCAAAAGTACTGAAGAATAGCTCAGATACTTCTTTTCCAGATCTTCAAGTTATATGGGCTGACCAAATTCATTGATTTCATTGAAGCCCAGTTCAAGGCTCGGAACGAGGAATTGATCAAAACTGATCCTGAGAGTTCTAAAATAACGAGTAAAAAGGGAATGATCTCAACTATTCAGAACTACTTGTCTATCATCTCTTTCTACAACCAGAAGCATATGGAGAGGATCCAGAGGAGCCAAAAAGAAGGCTATCTTGTGAACTTCGTAGTGTCAAAATTCACCCTCGATGAAGAGAAAACTAAACTACAGAAAGATTTCAGAGAAACAGAAGGATTAAAACTAAAGAAAAGGCAGCTTAAAGCACTTGAAAAAGAAAGCGATGATGAATAAATCTCATAATAGATGTTTTCAACTGACTTTTAAGGAATTGGGGTTTTGGGGTTTTGGGGTTTTGGGGTTTTGGGG